CCGAACACTCGACACTCGAAAATTGCAGCCCAAGTAACTGAGTTGCCTCCCAGCCTTCGAATTTGCAAGTGTTCATAGGAAATCCTGTATACAGACCAAAGAAGGAAATTGACGTCAGGTCTATAGGACCTACATGAACTTTTTCGGGCCAACTCGATGACCTGACTTCGGGTTCAGCACACGCATATGCTAATTAGACCACGAAGCGTGCGAAACAAGCGTGCGAGCGAAGCGTGCGAAGCCGGGAGGTTTGGACCAAGATGCTTAGGAAGTGTTTTTTAATGATACGGCGACCACCGAGATCTACACCACTCTCGACGACATGGCACCGATCGAAGATGAAGCGGTTTTCAACGACCCGAATGGCACCATCCTGGACCCTCCAACGACAAGAATGTTCTTAGTTGATTTTGTTTTTGACGACATTTTGCCAGCAAAAGCTGTAAACGCTACAATCGCTAAGAACGACATAGTTTCCTGGATTCTCGTAATCTACTTCAGTTTTGGTGTCCTGACTGCCAAAGGTTAAGATGGGACGCTCGACAAGAATTACCCGCAAAACGCCCGCAAATATACCATTTCCTTGTCGTTCCAGTTGTTTTCTCTCTGTTTGCTTGTGCCGGTAATGTGTTTACGAAACGCTCGAATCGACAAGAATTGCATGATTTTTTGTCAAACGATTGATTTCAACAACGACGAGAAATCTCTTTGCATTGGAGGTTCAAGGATGAAAACCAAGGGTGCTTCTTCCAAAAATCAATCATGACGTGACGAAAAATGATCGATGTCGAAAGCAAAACACGCTCCAAAAGGATTGGGTACGGCAGTTTTGTTTGCCGTCCAAGGCACTTAGGTTGTAATCGTCTCTGGTGCAAGAACGCTTCCAAATGCGTCCAAACCTATGGGGAACAGTGCAAGGAAGGGGAAACAACGGAAACACAAGCATAACTCATAACCTTGAAGAAAGGAAAAGCATGTTACATACCACCATACAAAGCACTAATGAAAAGCAATCTGCACTGAAGATACATGAAATGTGATTTACATAACAAACAATTGTGTATATGTGTATGTATCTTGGATTTGCTTAAGGAGCCTGGAAAAACGTTAAACACAATCACCCCTTAAAATGAATGCACCAAAGAGGGACACACAACAAAAACCGACCCGCAGCAAAACAAAAGGCACATATAGAAAGGAAAACCTCCTGTTGCCTGATTTCCAGGGACGTTGCTTGAGGGATAAGTGAGACCCAATCATGTGAAGGGGATGCGATTTTCTGGCATAAAAGCGAGGTCAGAACATTACAATGCCATATTAATATATATATATATATCTCTTATATGTCATATTAAGTACAAAGTCTTGGAACCTATTACAGCTGCACCAGAGAATATCGTCAGATTTGTGTCATTGCCTGACAGGACTTTCAGCCAGTTGCAAAACATGAATGCCATTGAATGCCTATCCCTCTTGCAAGAGACCTGTATTTGGAGATGGTTGCTCCAAAAACCATGTCGGACTTTGGAGTGATACCACCTAATTATCCTTCAAGGCCTTTAAACCCCCTCCTTCGAAAGACGTTTCCCTGCGGAGGTTCGACCAAGAGACCCGCGGAGGCAGAAGTGCAATGGCACTCCCCGCACCAAGTCTGCATCCTGAGCTAAGGCTGAGTCAATGCGCTTTTTGCAAAACCACAGAACAATTTGGATACTTTTTGGAACAGGAGTTGTTTCGACTCGACTCGAAGCTGTGTGCGTTATTTTGTCAATTTTGGAGGTGTCTATCTGGAAGATGTGTGACTGTTGGTGAGCGACTGTGGGTTTTGAGGTGGACCCAGTGAATCACACGAACTCTTGAGTATGCGATGTAACCTCTTCATGAGTCCTTTGCATGATTCACTAGGTGTTCTCAAAGTAAAAATATGTTTTTCTAACGAGTACATCATTATTTTGGGTTGCACAGGGTGGCCATGCAGTGGGGCTGTGCGGCCACTCCCCCTCAAAACATGATATATTTGAGGGACTATTTGATGGAAGCACCTCATACACAATATTGACCAGCTTCTTCAAAGTGACCTTTCTAGAGTCCTAAATGACCGTCAAACCAGGCCAACGTGCCCTCAAACCAGGGGATCAAAAGGTCACTTTGAAGAAGCAGGTATGCTTTGTACAAACTTAAGTGCAATGAAAGCATCTAGAGATACTGGTAGGTTTGAAAGACCTCCAGACTGGAGCAATATCATGCAACATCTCCAACTTAGCGATCGTCCGACTTCCAATATGTTCGATCGAAAAGCAAACAAACATCATATGCTCAATCGAAAGCAAACAAACATCAAAAAACTAACATTGATAACAAATACATAAGCATCACGGTACGTAGCTATAGTATGTATTGTAATATGGTGACATATGACATATGGTGAACAAATACAGAAACAGCAGTTCAAAGTTATTCAAAGACGTTAAGAGGGGATCTATATTGACTGTAGGGAGGGGTCCTCCCAAGGGGTCTCCCTCCGGCCAAAAGGCCCTCCGTGGTGATCGGGACATCGGTGATGAGAGAAGCACCGGTAGATTGCTTCTCTGCGAGAAGCAATGAGCACATCAATCAACTATGAAATCAAAATTTTGTTTTTTTGAGTGGTTTATTTCATCTTCTTGCTTAATTTCATGTGCTTTTCATTCAAGACACACAGGTATATAACTCTCTTTTTCCGCCTCAGTCGTCTGCCTAGGCTCCAATGGTGTTTCCAAGCTTTGTGTGCTCCTCTTGGAAAATGCATGGCCCACATTCTCCTGCGCGGCGTCCCTCCGCCCCGGCGACTCCCTCCATGAACGCCGACCAGGTCATCGGGGTGGCCCCCCCCCCTTCAGGTCCGTCGGGTGGTCGTTTTCTCGCTCGGTGTTTCTTTGCTTCTTTGTGTTGTTTGTTTGTTGAAGAAGATGGAGAAGATAGGACCAGACCATCGCCTAATCTTTGGGGCTGATGCCTTCCTGACCCTGCAGCAGGGTTGGTGATGATTGGTGGTCCATGTCTTCTTGATCGTTCTTTATCCAACAGTTTCAACTAAGGAGTCCATGTAATGTTCAAACGCCATGAGGGCGGTGAATCGATTCTCTTGTGGCAAGGGGCGGGTGTGATTGACGTGTCAGCCGTTCAAACGTCGCAGATCACTCCGTAATCCAGCTGAACAGCATTGGACAGCTATCGGTATACTGGTAGAGCTCAATACTAACAGCAAATATCAGCAAATTCTCCAAAACTCGAAAACCCGATGGTCTCGAAGACATGAATCATCCTGAAGAAAAAGAATGAACAAGATCCTCAGTTGACTCAAAGAACTCAATCATAGTATCTGATTACTGTCGATCTTTCTTTCAACTCCTCCAATCCACCTGCTCCATGTCCCTCCCTTTGTTCAATCCCCGGTCATTTCGTCCAAGGAGTCCTTGGACCCAGACCGCGTCGAGGGCTCCGCGCCCACACTGCTCATCGTGCCATCTAGCGAGACCATCGCCTGCACCGCCATGCCATCACCTCCATGCACCATCAGCTGCACCGAGAGAGCACTGGATGCCACGTCTGGCCAGGACGTCACGTTGGGTCTGGCTGGTCGTGAACAAGCCACGAATTTGAGCCAATGGATGCCTATAGGGTCTACCATGGTCTACGAGAATGAGACAAAGAATGATGGTCCAAATGAGACAAAGAACAGACCAGGTCTCGGCCAGGGATCACATTTGATGAGCGAACATGCAGGAAACCACAAGCATATCAAACAGTAGAATATTAACATTAATCATTCGGCAAGGCATGAAAAGACACTAGTTCATGATGACTGCAGCAAGTGATGACTGCGGCTGAATGCCAACAGCTAGCAGCCGCAGCTAACGCATGCTAACGCCATAAAGACGGCCATTACTTGCTGAAAAGCCTCTGCCGCTGCAAGATACAACGCTGCGCTGGGCCGAGGTGATCCAACTGCTGGGCACGCCAACCGAGACGACAATGGTAGCTGCCGTGTGTTGGGCGTGAAGAGGTAGCACATCGACTAGGAGAAAGGGAATCCAAATAGCATCCAAACTGTATATATTATATTAATCGATCCACACTAAGACTGTACTAAGACTCTATGTCTTTAATCTGAAATACAACAACTCAAGCTTGTGCCATACTACATTGGCGGGGGCAGTGCTGCCCAAAAGATGTCTCGCAGGCTGTTTCATCCAGTTCTTGCAAAACCGGCTGATTGCGCAGTTCTTACACACCGTCACGGCCCCCCCGCGCACGACAGGATTAAGAGGCCCAGCAAAATCAGCAAGCTGCGGTTCTTTCTCGCATTTTGGATCGCAGTAGGCTGCAGCAGCATCCACTCTCAAAACAACTCACCTGGCGCTGTTGGAACCGAGACTGGCCATGGGCTTTCAATGAAGGCTAAATGGGAGGGTGTGTGGAGAAAGGGGGTCAGCAAAAATCGCTTGTACGAAGTTAGTGCATCAAAAATACCTTCCACGAAGTTCTGCGAAGGTTTCTAGGATTTCGTTGCGGTCAGTTCTGCTACTGGCCCACCATTCCACGAACTGTCCACGAATAGCCTTGGGTTCTACGAATGTCCCGCGCCTTCCACGATGTTAGTATATAGGTTATTGCAAAACCCTTTCTGTGCACTACCCTTCCGTTTGCCAGAATCCAATGATCCGAAGAAGCTTCGTCAAGACAAACGAGTGAGTGCGCCACAAGGTGCAAGGTCTCTTTTTACAATATGGGTGAGATGTTGGGAAAGCATCCAACGTGATGGCGCACTTTCACACATCACGCCGGAGCCGGCGTGACTGTGCCTCATGCATCCTCATGCCACGTCTTGTGGCAATCAGAAAACACGACTTTGTGTTTACATATCCTGACTACGTGCCTCGGCTTCTGCATTGATCCCAAATACTTGGAAAGCACATGAAAGCAATACAATCGCTTGACATTCACATCTGTTCACTGCTTCAATCATGGCTCATGGAGGCTGCTGGCTCGGAGTAATGCTCCTGCGAATCCGTCTCAAAGACATCCTCGTAGGTTGGCTCCGTCTCGCTCTCCGAACGGCGTCGCTTCAAATCCCCCAGCACCACCGGTGAACACATGAGCCGCTGGAGCTCGCAGCCGCCCAACTCCTCGTAGCGCAGCTGCAAGGGCGACGGCGGCCCTCGTGGGACGAATCTGACACCTGGTCCCAATGATGCAGGAGGTGCCACATCTAAGGTGACCTGAGAAACTAAGCAAGGTGCGCTCTCGCACTTCTGTGACAACCTGGAACGTCTCAGCAGAATTGGACCCACCGATTGGCCATCCAAAATCATTTCCGGTTCCTCGGCGTCCAAACAACAAAGGCGACCAACCACAGGTTTGGCTTCATCTGGGATCTGCTCCACGTTGGCGCAAACAAAGACCATGGCATCTTCCTCTTCTCCTTCCTCCTCCGGCTCAGGGCGCCACCAATAGATCCACAACAAGCAGGTGAGTTCCAAATCCATCTGCCGGGTCAGCTGGAAGTGAGCGACATATTCGTTGGTGCTCCCAGGAAGAAGACAAGGAGGAACACCTTCAATCCTCACCATGCAGGGACCCCGATAGGACAACCCACCCTCACCCATGGGTAGCTTCAATTCGCCATGATCACTGATGACTCCGACTTCCTTCCCATTCAAAGACACAGCGACCCCTGCAGCTCCAGCACTGCAACAAGGGGAGTGCACCCGAAGGAGTGGATCTTCAGCGGAGTCCGCGGATTCATCTTCCTGAGCCATCAAACACGCCAGCCACAGTGCAGGAACATCACCCGTGGCTAAGCAGGCCAAACGGAGAACGGAGCATTCGGTGTTTGCACAATGCAGAGCCACTTGCCAGGGCCCAATGCTGGCACAGGGTCTTGTGAGTGCCTGGGAAAAAAAGGCAAGCAGTTCCTCCCTGTGACAGCCCCGAAACTCTTTCCTCCAGCTCCTTTTCGTCAGTCCGCATGTGGGACCAGTCATGTTGATTCAATGCGCCAGCTTGGACCTTGAGGGAAGATCCCAATTCTCCGTCCCAAAGCCACACCTCAGCATCCATGGGAGGCGCCCCACGGCTACATCGCCATTGCGCCAGATCTCCTCCCACCAACCACAGATCTGCACGCCCCGGTGCGCGAGTCCCAGGGGCCGCCGTGCACACAAAGCGAAGTCGATCCAAAGGAAACTCCACTGTGACACCGCAAGTAGTGGCATCAGCGATGTTCAAGGGAAGACAAAGACCAGGTGCAAATAACAAGTTATGTTCTACCAGCAGTGAATGTTCTCCCACCCGCACCCCACAGCTCACAGGTGCCACATCTGTGATGCCGAAATGTTCCCCATTCACGGAGATCCGCGCGTTGGGCACGGGGCACAAACAACAGCAGGTGACCAAGGAGACCTCCACGATGGGCGTTCCTAACCGTCCGATCTCCACCAAGCGCCCGGTCCCATGGACCTCGCCCTTCTTTAATGGAGAGGATCGCCAACCAGCACAGCTCACAAAGTCCGCATCCGCCAAGGGATCCGCATGGTCGGGACCTCGAACAAAGAGACATACCCTAGGGCTCCAAGTACCTGCTACCCATGAAACCTGCAAATTATGCTAGCAATCTGGAATTCAATTGAATTTGAGTATTCAATTGAATTCTAAGAAGGTGTTTGGGGTGGGTTTGGAGGGTCCAAGTACCTTCTGAGGAGGTACCTGGAGCCCTAGGGCTAGTAATAACATTAAAAAACAATGCGCTGGAATGCAGATTCCGCCAGCAAAGAAAAAGGGGGCATGGCCGGATAAGATATACAAAAGTACATCAAACAACAACAACAACAGCAGCAGCAACAACAACAAGAAGAAGAAGAAGAACCACAACAAGAACAACAACAATAACAACAACAATAACAATAACAAGAACATGAACAACAACAAGGTACAAACACAAACTGCAGTCCCGTTACAAGATATCTTGTTCCTTTGTCTCTACAAGGGGGTGGAAACAAAATCTGCAGCCCCGTCGTTGATATTTTGACCCCCCCCGAAAACAACCAGCCAACATGTACTTTTAACAGTAGTGGTAGTGCTTGTACTCGTGCTAGTACTAGTGGTACTAGTACTAGTAGTAGTCGTTGTTGTAGTGGTCGTAGGAGCAGTAGTAGTAGCAGTAGTGGAAGTAGTAGTAGTCTAGTATTACTAGTAGTAGTAGTAGTAGTCGTGGTGGTAGTGGTGGTGGTAGTGGTAGTGGTAGTAGTAGTCGTCGTAGTGGTAGTGGTAGTGGTAGTAGTAGTAGTAGTAGCAGCAGTAGTAGTGCCCGCACCTCAAGAGATGTTGTTGTCTCTACCCCCCCTAGAAACAAAACCTGCAGCCCCGTTGTTGTTTTTTGACCCCCCCCCCCCAGAACAACACCCCTAAAAACATAAAAACACAAGAAACAGACCAACCAAGACTTGAGTACCACAACGACAAGAAGTCCCGCTACTAACATCTCTCCAAACCTTCGACCCTATCCCTAACAGTGTCCAATTGAAATCTCTGACTTGCAACATGTGACAACTATGTTGGGCAGCTGTTTTTGTCTCCAACAACAACGACGACGACGACGACCACAACAACAACAACAACAACAGGAGCAACAGCAGCAACAGCAACAGCAACAACAGCAGCAGCAGCAACAACAGCAACAACAACAACAACAACCACAACGACAAGGACAACAAAGACAACAAAGACAACAAAGACAACAACAACAACAGCAACAACAGCTTGGTACCCAAACTTTGGAGATAAATCGAGTTGAATCAGTTGGTTGTGCTGCCAGAGATATTTATGAGATCAGTAACTGGCTTAAACTGAGATACGATATGCAATTTCAGCTAACACGGACATGGACGAGTTTTTTGTTTAATTGACTAAATGGGCAAGAAACAGCAAATGCTCGATGAGTGTGATAGACGCTTGCAAGAAGGGCCGCATTCACATCCTATCAATGCTGCACAGCACATGCATGTCTACAAGCTATGCCCTATACCACGCCTGATGCCTGTGACTTGCTCGACCACTTCTTTTGTCTATTTTGCAAGTGTAAGTTCAGCTATTGTTTTCTTGGTACCAGTAGATTCTCAAAAGATTCTCCTTCATCTCAGCACCGACGCCGAGTCACCCCAAGCAGCAAACAGTGTATTTTCTCCCCTCAAACATGGTAAATGTGGCTACTGCAGGAGATGGGGGTGTTTTAGTCATCAAATTTCATGAGTCAACCTCAACCTCCGAAAAAAAAAAAAGCAACTCGGCTTGGCACTTCGGATGAAGCCATCCAAGTCAGCTCTCACAGCTTCTCCACTGCTGTATTCCAGGCTCCCTTGGAAGGGCACCAAGTTGGGGATGGGCAACACCGCCTCCTCCAAATCCATGCGCGGGTCGCGGCCAAAGACCACCAACTCCTTGGCGGTTTCCAGTTGCCAGAGTTGCACAGAGGTCTCCTCGAAGGTGGCAAAAAAAAAGGTGGAAACTGCCCCAGTTTTCTTTCTTTTGACAAGCATCACTTATATAGTTTTTGCGGAGATTCCACGGAAAAGAAATGGACAAGGGATGACAAAGGGAATCCCCACATAGCAAAGGAAGACTCAACAAAATGCAAATAGAATGTGTTGAATGGCTTTAAGATGTTATTAATGCAAAGCTAGGTCTCCGTCGTGAAGGTCAAGTGAGTCTCCGGAGCAAGTATTTGAAGCGTCTTGCTTTGAGGCTCCATGAACTTGCCACGCTCGGCCCTGAGCTCAATCGGAGCATACAACGGCACAGAGAGCTTCACAGAGCCTGCTTGATCACTGAGACTCTTACTCACTTGCTTCCCATCTGAGAGGACGGTGACTGAAACAAATGGCAGTGGAAACTCCAGAGCATTCTGCACGGTGACCTGTACTGGAACCTCTGGCATGCATATGGCCATGCGTTTCATCACGGCATCCATTGAAGGCCAAGCTCTACTTTTCAACTTCGATGAGATGCATAGGCCCAGGCATCCGTCGCCTTGGCGATTCAAAGGAGTGGCACCCCATGGCTTCAAGGGATCATCGCAGCACAAGTAAACCTCAAAGGAGCCAATACGAAAACTTGGGCCCTTTGCTTGCCTCTCTTCCGGGATGGGCCCTAGTGGCACCAACAACTCCACCCGAACGCCCTGTGGAAAGCGTTCGAGGACCAAGATCTTGAGCTTCTCAAAGCGATTCTGGTATTGCGTCTCATCGTGACGTAGAGTTGAATCATGTGTTGCGCAATCTCTGCAAGACTCGACGATGACCCACACATAGGTTCTACAAGTCGTCGTGGACTTCGAACACTCGGGCTGCTCCCCACACTCGAGCTGCTCTTGCTCGAGCTCCTGAAGCTGTCGGATTCGTTCGGCGAGCCCATGAAGCATGTCCATATGGATCCCTCCATCTGTGTGCTCTGCATCCGGTGAAAGCCAGGGAGGCCAAATGGGTCGCCGGGAGATCTGCACATCCGGAGGAGGAGGCGGAGGCGGAGGCGGAGGTGCTGGAGGTACTGGTGGAGTCTTTGCTTCCACTTTTGGAGGTCTCTGATTGGATCCTCTCGGATTTGGTCCCCTCTGAGGTCCTCTTTGAGGTCTTCTCAAACCATTCCGACCATTTTGCCTGGCAGGTGACCTGTGGTTCTTGTGAGCACTTCTCATTGGAGGCTCGACCTGTGCGACTCGACCGACTGGGGGCCGACCTGTGGTTCGTGCAGACCATGGCATGGGTTCTGAAGCCAATAGAGCCCGAACCTCTGCCATCTTATCTGCATATAGAGGCACAGGTGGCGCCTGAGCAGTGTATTGATACTGAAACCAGGCCTCCACTTGAGATGCCCCCATTGGACCCTCTGAATGTGGTCGTGGTCCGCACGTCGCACCATTGCCAGAACGGCCCACCCGACCGCCCGCAGGGGCGGTGCTGGGAGGAGCTGTCGGGTCCCATGTACCATCCTCCATGGCAAAACCAAAGTTGGGCTGGTTGAATTCTCAGATTTCTCAGTGGTTTCTCCACTGTTTGCTGTGTATATATATATATATTACTATATTATACTTAATTTATTGAAACATCAGATGTTCAGATCGTGAAGATGGCTTAGTGGCTTAGTCACTTGTCCTTGAAATGGTCTAAGAGTCTTGCTACACTGCAGAGAAGAATCTGGACAGGAAATCTCCCTTCAGAAGGCGCGGGTGATTTGCCCAAGGTGCTTGACATACCGCGGTAAACAACGCTTTGCCTCGAGGCCGCCGCCCAGGCGCTGGAATTCCGCTGCACAACAACTCCCTGACTCGCCATGTCCTGGCACTGCGACCCACTCGGCAAATGAGTTAGATCCCCATCTGAAAAGGGCTCAGTTTGGAAGACCAGGGCTCAGTGAAGGTGTTGGGGGGTCTATCCCGGATCCCTGAAATTCGTGGTCACATCGACCCGATTTCGCCCTCGAAACGGCAGAGTCGAACTAGTTCTTCTCCAAGGTTCTTCTTTTACTCCTAGAACTGTGTGATCCGATCCGACTCTGGATCTATCGATGCCATCGACCGGATCCATCGACGCAGCTCGTTCCACGTCGAAACGGCGGTTTTGGCACCCGGTTTCGGTGCCTTCGCCGGGGTTTTGGCGGTCGTCCGGGCTCCGCGGCACCCGACCTGGCAGGTCGGTGTCGGTGAGTTGGGAGTTGGAGGAGTCGTTCCATGGGTTTTTTTCAATCAGTTGATTAGATTAGAACAGAACATGCTAACATGCTGACATCTCTGGGATGTGTTCAATGACGAAAATAATATAATGAAGAACATGACTTCCCGTGGCTGTTCCAGCTCACTTGCGAACAGCGGGTCGATTGAAGAATCATCGATTCCAACAGCCTGGCAAATGAGAATGGTGCGCTCGATCAACCAGCCAGGAGACAAGGCGAAACTTTCGCAGACTCCATTGCTTCCAAAACGGCTGCGGGAAATGGATGGAAATGGAGTTTCAAAATTATATATCCAGCAGGAGTCGGCTTACTTGATTCAATGATCTTCAAAGCTGTCATGTAACGATACAGCCACATGCTGGCTGTCGACACGCAACGCTCTCGTGGCTCTCGTCTTTTGTCCAGCCAGCTTCAACGCATCTTAAATCTTCAGCTGCCGGGACTGATTTCAACAGATCTCGGAAATCTTAACCCTGATGGAATGACAACTACAACCTGTGCACTGTTTTATATAGGGGCAAAACTACCCCCGTTCCAAGTGGGTCTTCAGTGGTTTTCATGCGTCATGGGAACACGGCAACATTGGCAAACTCCGGTTTCAAATGCGACCATGGCACTCATGTCCACTCTCCACAGGCCGAAGTCTCTTCATGGAATGGCAGTCATTCAACAATTACAACCATGGCAACCATCTGAGCATAGAGCATGTCGACTGATAGACTATCACTTCATACTAGAAGGAAGATGAGGGAAGCAAGAAACCATGAAAACTGTAGATCGAACTGTCTAAGAAAACAACTCTGCTCTCACCCCTGCTCTTCACCTCATCGCCGCGTGGGTGAACGACGCCGAGAGAGGAGAGCTCCTGATGATCACCACACTCATCCTTTGCTCACTGAGATCTCCCTACATCGCATGCCCAACCACACTATCGGCAAGTGGACCTTGGGATACCTTGGGTTGGTTTCAAAGATCAATCTGAGGCATACATTGCATACTCCAGGAGTATCTGGGATGATCGGACGTTAAACCCTTTGACTCTCGAGATCACCTGAGATCTTCAGAGTCCACTGTGAGTTCCACTCAGCGATACGTCATCATCGAAGACGTCGGCATCTCGTGGGGACGATGCATCTCATCTGCAGCTGCTCATTACAGCTTGCCCAAGAAGGCATGTGAGGGATGGGCGGTCCATGATGGAGGAATGTGGAGGGAACACCGGCCATCGAATGCCACATCAATGCATCAGTGACATTGACTTGAACAGTCGGCGAGTCCGCGGTTTTGTCTGCAGCGGTGACGGTGATGTTCGTTTGGGCAGGGAAAAAGCTGTGAAGAGCTGCTGCTGCAGACGAAACGATCGGCACGGTGTGCCGAAATTCGCAGCGCTGAGTTGTCTAATCCTCCCTCAGGGAGTGAAAGTACGGGGTCTGTCCCCTGTGGGTGACCTTCAAAAAAGGGCTTTGGAGAAGCAGTTTGGACAAAACAACTTCCAGCAGTCAAACATAGTACGTGCGACTGTCCTGGCTGGACTACCCTACCGATCTCTATTGGATACTCAGACAGGATGGCCCAGGTAAGTGTTACTTGTTGGGTTCACCAAGGCTTCACCAAGGTTGCTGTCGTTTGGATGTGGAGAAACCAGTCGAAGACACGTTTGGGTGAGGGATGTCAATGGATGTCACACTTCTCGTGTTTTTGATGGGCTTGGACTTTCAACACTTGACAAGTACACCAGCTTTAAGCAGTTGCCATGGAGTTTTGCCTCCACATGACTGCAGCCAGCCAGGTTGCACCTACTTCAAAGAAACCGAATAGGCCGCACATGTCCATCTTCATCTGATCTAGATCCATCCGACACCCTCGTTCAGCACTAGTCAACACTAAGGCAGCCACCACATCTGGTGAGACCAGTGATGGTCCGATTTCGATGCAAAGGACTTGCTGATATCTGCCCAAGGTGTACGTCTTTCATTGTGTACGATATCTGAAGGACTCCACCAGAAAACGAAACGATATTGAACGGTTGAATCTCAAGAACTTTGGCAAATCCCGATATTTCATTTGATATTTCATTGCTCATACAAAGCATACGAAGATTGAATCTCTTCTGTTTGAATCTCAAGCTTTTTTCGATCCACCTCTCAACCGCCACCCGGTCCGGTTGCCCTTGGGTCAAGAATCTCATCCAGGGTTTACGGATTGAAACTGTGTAGAGTAGTTGTAAAACCAGGTGTCAGGTGTCTGCATAAACAATCTTAGAATAATTTACATCAAGGGAGGCCAATGACAACATCCAGCGCCAGAACTGTTCTACGATCTCTTGGGCGGTTTGATCCGAGCAGATCCACTGTGAAGGACTTTGGTTCGTTCGTTTCCGGGAATTCGTCCCCCCGTTGAGAGAAATGAACGACTGGACGACCAACCATCCGACTGGACGAGATCTCGGTCCGACGAACTCGACCGTCCGAACGACCGTTCGTTCACCGAGAACGACCGTTCGCGGAAAGTGGAGTCGACCAACGAAGAAAGAATTGCGGAGATTGACCTGAAACGGAAACGTCAATATCGACTCTAAGTCTAAGACTATTGCATTCAGGATCAGCGGGATGGATTGGACACTCAGAGATTCCTGCGAGGGTGACTCACTTCAGGTATATATCATCCCAGACCAATCTCGGTAATTATAGGCCTTTTAGTTGTGTTTTGATGTGTTTCTGGCTACTTCTGGACCCTTGCACGGGAAGACACCCGGAGTGGGGCTCAGCAGCCAGCATGGATCTTCGGATCAAGCGCTGTTGCAACCTCGTGCGGCACATACAAAGGAGCCATGCAACAACTGGGAACGTCCTTCCATTCCTCTGTCATGTTCACTCATCCCCCTGCCCAAAAAGAAAGGGCCGCCCCCGTGGCTCCACGTGAGAAAAAGGGTGCTCCCATCGACTCAATCCACACAGCTTGCGATTTCAAAAAGCTCCTTGTTGAGCACATGTGGGTGGAGTCTCTGGGGCTGGGTCAAAGCAGCCTGGCACCGTTTTTTGATGAGAATGAATTAAGCTGCTGCAGCCTTCCACAGCTGTTACCATTCGATCATTCTGATCCTGACCCAGCATCCTCTTGAAATGCCTTGAAAAGTCAGTGAAATCCTTAGGATCAATCTTTCTCCTGGATGTGCTTCGACTCTACTGCAAACCAAAGACATTGGAGCGTACCAAGACTCTGGGCTTTTCTTAAGTGGAGAGACCCCAAACAGAGAAGCCACTCTCCTGTGGGTCAACACCCTTCTACGGATCCTCTTCGCATGCTAAGCCGGTGCCTAAACAAGCAAATTATCCCAAACAATGTCACGCTGTGAGTAGTTCGTTCAATCTCTGGATGACCTGCAACCAGCAGCTCTTGGTTTAGCGCAGCTCAAGGACAGGCACAAAACCCGTCAAATGCGTCGAGATCGGGTCCGGATTGGTTCCAGCTTCACGTTTCGCTTCACTTCTTCACTAGTGGGGCCCATCTGGACCAATCCAATTCCCAGAAAACGTGGCTCAGCTTTCCGGCATGGGTGACCTCTACAAATCAACCTACAGTACTTCCTTGGGCATACTTTGGTCCAGCTTGGTGTCATGTGAGGATCCTTTGTAAATGCATTGAAAACCCCAAAACCATCCAAAACCTTGCAATTGTTGGAGGTCACCAACCTTATTGGGCCTTCATGTGGCCAGGAAGTTCACCTCCTGGACAAAATGAACTGGGATGTCTTGGGGGTCTAGAGTGGCCATGTGATGTCAAAATCGATTCATGTCTCACTCCACTGCTTAGTCATGCAGGTGCTGCTGTATAATAGCAATATATCATATATCCGTGGTCCAGCATGTGGGCATGAGTGTGGTTGAGGGGGAATGTCCTGCGTGTGCCACCATTATATAGGCGAACACTATATAAATTAAAATCGTACACTTCAAGCCATGATCCCATCATGTAGGCTCAACAGCAATGTTCATCAGGACATTGACATTGCTTGAGTCGCACTCTCACGTGTCAACGATATGTGCATCTGGAAGGTCGAATGTTTACAAGGTTATTGCAGTGCGGAGCTTTCTTGACTTGGTCAGAAGACACATCCAGAGTTCTTCAAAAAACTTTGCCTCACAGACCTAGATCCGTGTTCTCACAGAGTCAGAGTCGGCATCTGAGAGGGCCTGAAGACATGGCTCGGTGTTTGATGGTGACAAAGACTTGGAGAATCAAGAGAATAGGCTAGCATGAGGCTGTATATCTAATATGGATGCAGTATGGGGGTGATTTTGCTTTGACCAACAAATGTCCATGAGTTTCGACCGAACAAACGTTTAATATAGTTCTTGCATGTTCTTGCTTCGTTTTCTATGAACAACCCAAAACGGATGTTTCTCTGTCGCGTGCATTACAAAAGCGATCAACAGTATCTGTGAACATTGTACTGTTTCGTAAGGTTTATCTATGATTGTGCAATAGATTTATAATGATGTGTATCTAGTTGGATACACCTATTCCCTGTACCAACATGTACCAATCATGCACATATAATGCCATATCGAACATTTTCAGGATCACTTTTCATTCAATCAACCTATAGCTTCTGCGTTGTGTGCCAGGCCCCCCAAAAAACATCGGATACCCAGGCGATGTTCGACGTTCGATCGCCAACGGCACGACGAGCCCTTCGATGTCGGTTGGGACCGGGTCGACCGAGTCGGACCGAGTGACAGTGCCGACTCTCGGGCAGTGTCAGACGTGGACCATCAAGACATGCCAAGACATGCCGTTCACCAAACCGGAAGTTCTTTGCACTACCGTCATATGAGCCAAAGAAATCGAATGTTCGCCCCCTGCTGCAGGACTTCGCCCACCCGCGCCATCGGATTCAGCGAGAAGACATATTTTGGGGAGCCGAATCCTCTCCACAAATGGGTGATTTTTGCGACCCACAAATGTCCATGAGTTTCGACCGAACTAACTGACTTTAGTTCTTGCTTCATTTTCTATTCGCATTTCCTGTGGGTCGTCCTACTTCATCGAACAAGAACTCTGGACCTGTCGAGGGAGTGACCTTCGCCACCTTCGTCACGGTGACCGACCCGAAGCCACGGTCTTCACCTCGAAGAAGTGTGGAGCTCAGAAGTATTCAGAGACGTAGTCTTCCTCCAGCGGAAGCTCCTGAACTTCCTCGAACCCGGAAGAAGCGCTGAAAGAAGGCACGATCTGTACTCACATGCGAAAAAACCGGCTATAGGGCACATGATAGGGTTCATGACGTCCGTAGAATCATCGAAATACCGGACATACCCGTCTTCCCTTCTTGAGAATAGCGCTCAGCATGTTCGATTCCAACGGGCCTTTGAAACAGCCCGATACATAGAAACTCAAGCAACAGATCCGGAGTGAGATCAACAAATCCGGACTTCTGGAGATCCCAAACCTCCCTGTCTGTGGAGATCACATGGTGGATCCACAGAGTGAAAAACATGGACAAAAACTGGAGATCGCCCAAGTCCGCCCAAGTCGTCCGTTCTCCACCCGCTTACTCCCGCTACACGTGACGGACGCGTCCAACGACGTTCGCGACGCAGACTGGGTCCTTGCATCCCAAGACGTTGACCTCACGCCCCTCTGTTCGACGAGAGCGGTCTCGGTCTCCTCCAAACCCAAAGCGAGACTCAGGCATTCAGGCGGCATGAAGAAGTGAAGAAGTGAAGGGATGAGAAGGGCGACCAAAGTGGTGTCGATGTTGACAGTTCTGAAGGGAATGTCCGCTATATAACTAGTAGAAATGGCAATTCTACGGTACATCATTGTAAACTCTCTTTTTGGGGACCGTATAATAGAGTCTTAGAGAGAACAACTTCTTCGATCCTTTGTTTTCTCAGAGCTATAAGGGGTGAAGTTGTGTGCGAAACAGCAGTGGAATGCAACCCCGCCAGGAACAAATCACATGGATTCAAGATGATTCAAGCTTACTCCAAACACTCCATGTATGCCATATATGCCGATCAGTTGGGGTGGTTTTGGGGGTCAATGTAGGCATATGTGGCATACATGGAGTGTCTGGGTACAAGTTTGACAAAGAAGTAACATCAAACGGTTCAAGGCCATGGGACATGGGACATGGCAGCCTGGGGAGTTGACTCCTGGGTTTTGACCACTCTGAGGACCTGCAACACCGGCGGTAGCTTCAGAGATCGACATTCTGATTGATGCCCAGGAAAACGAAAGACAAACAACAAATCACCCTGGAACACCAATCATGACACACCACCAAAATGACCTGAACACACCACCAAACAACAAATCATGACACAATCCGTTCTACTCTCGAGATCGAAGATGACAATTCTTGCTTGCTGTGGATCTCCCATCCAGTGTTGCACGCAAAGAAACACCCTCGACAGAACCGGTCAACATTGCGACACTGGCACTGCCTGAGGCTTTTTGCTCGAAGATCTCGAAGGTTGGAAGGCAGAAAAAGGCCAGTGTGATGGCCCAATAGGTGAAATAGATCATAAGCTTCAGGATCTGTTCACCTCCCGCATGGCATGAAGGGGAAAGCCGACTGCCGTCTGAATAAACCACCATGGAACCATGACGACTCTGGTCAAGGAGGTCGACAGTCACACATGGTTCCCAGTCGCATACGGTCGCATCCGCCAACACGCACCAACATGCCAAACCTCAAGGACCTCCTCATCTTTCCACCTAGGCCTACCGCCTGGCCTTCCCGAGTCCAAAAAAGAAACACTGTGCCTTCAATGCCTTCCAGCAAATCCGCCACCAAAGGCTCCCAAAGGCCGTAGCTCAAGGCGCCCCAAATCACCGGGCTCAGAAACACCGACAGCAACGCCTCGTGACGTTTGTGTTGGAAGGATTTCAAGAATGATTTGGCACACGCAAGGAGTTGTAAATCAGTAAAGCACAATATAGCAGAATAATTGGCTTTTGCAATGTTTGGAACACTCGATTTGCACTTCTGTGCTTGGCGTTATGATGAAGTCGTACATCCTGGACCAACTGAGGTGTCTCTCTGTGTGTCAGGTGCTATGATCTACACCATCTGCACGCACATCATCCAAGTCTATTTCTGGTAGAGACTACGCTACCCTGCCCCCACTCAAAAAAAAAGGAGATACTACACACCCCTCTGGTGAAGGACAGCTATGACTCTGACTAAAACATACTAAAACCTATTCTTCTTGAAGCCACATTCAAATCGATGTTGGTCCTGACCCATTGCTTGAAACATCTTGAAACAGTGCTTGACCAGTCAGCAACTGCTGCAGTCAGTTTCTTCGCTCAAATGAGTTCTCCAAGCTGCGCGTCTGAGAGGTGTGAGCTGTAAAGGGCAAAAAGCATCCACCAAACGGCAGGATTGAACCATTAACAGCAGGCTTACCTGAGCGGGACTGATACAAGCTGCACGCATAGGCAGCTGGTGACTGTCTACTGTTAGAGATATCTCCGGAGATTGTAGACTATATATATTATGTTAAATTACATTATGTTAAATTTATTATTACTATACTATATGGGAGTTGATCTAAATTCCTTCATCCGGGATCCGTCATTTTCGC